TGTAATGCATAACATGCGTAACATGCACACATGCGCACTAAGATCGCTTGCAAAGCATCGAAATCACGATTGCTTATCAGCACTGGACTCGGACAGGAATTCACGTGAGAGCAAACAATAACAGCATCAAGAACAATAAAAACCTGTAGTAGCAGCGAAAAGTGGTGGGAAATGCACGTGCCCACCGCGCCCGCCGCTGTTGACACCCGGCACTGCGATAAATGTTGGCGCTCGTGATGTCGGATGCATCAGAGTGAACGCACGCATTGCACCTCGCACCGAACGAGCACCAGGAGGGCGCACATTATCCCCTGTAAAGTAGTATTTCTGGCCTTCAATTTTCTTCCAAACACTCCGTTAGTTCTCGAAGCAGAATGAAACAATAATTACAACCCTGAGAGCAGCTATTTCTATTCCACTACCTCAGCACAACCAGGCTCAGCAGGTAGCCCCAGCAGTCGTTCCAGTCCAAGACTTACCTGACCCAGCAGTCAGCCTAGCTTCTCATATTCTGGGATTGTGGACTTTATAACAAATAAAATGCTTCGAAAAAACACATACAACTACGAATTTTAAACAGAAAGTCACGGTAAAAAAAAGGCAAGATTCCCAAGCATAAGATGAGACAATTTTACCTGGTGCAACGCCAGCAGTAGCACTGCTTGGTTGCTGTTGGGCGTTGCTGCCCCCTGAGGCTGATCCATCGACTGCCGACTGCAGCTCAGCAGGTGCCAGAAACACCAATTTCACCAAGACCTTGATAAATGTGATGGTTATTAAAACAATCATCTCACTGAAACGAAATGGTGCAATACATTTGAATTATCGCAAAAGCAGACCGTCCAATCAGTGCGCCGAAGACATATTCGTGTTCAACTCTTCTGTGCAGAGCTATCTACTTTCGACCTCATTATATTCATCGCCATGCGCATGCTTGCCCTCCTCGCTTGGCAATGGCAACTACTACAACTCGGCTCGGCTCGGCTCGGCTGGGGAGCCCTCTGTCGTCTCTGGCGACGGTGTTTCGTGGCGTCGCACACCGGGATCGTTTGGCAGCCTGCCAGAGAAGCAGGGCAACCTTACCCAGGCTGCGGCGGCTGTATGGCTGGTGGGAAGACGGAGTGGTAGAGAGGTAACCGTGATTGTAAGGGTGCGTGGAGGGGTGAGCGGCGGTTAGTGGATGTACAAATGACTTCTCCTCCCCTTTCTCTCTTCCTAAGCATCAAATTTCCCCATTTCCCCCTCCTTC